TGCAGGCTTGGAATCCTGGGATTAAATAAATTGATTTTTATTCTCAATACCATTCACACATACAGCGCCCGGCAAACTCGCAATTATTCTGAAAAATTGCAAGACTTAGTGCGAATTGGATCACAATGCGAATCGTGAAGATAAGTGAAATTATTCTATCCACACACTCAAAAATAAAAATCAATTTTTAAATCTCACTTTTTCCTGTCGGTGTGAATGCCCCTAAAACAAACTAATAATTTTCAAAAACAAATTTCAAAGAATTTTTGGGGAAATACTTTCTCCTGTTCGCTGCCCTTGCTTTAAATTCTTCCATAGAAATTGCTAATTTTTGTAAGGATTCCGGTCTTTGTCTTCATAAATAAAACTTTATTTATGACTTATGACTTGGGATATTAGATCATCTTTTCGCCGATTTGTTCTGGTTTTGATGTGGATCCCAAACCAATGATAGAAATCTTTCTCTCTCAATGCAAACATTCCTTTTTGAAGTTGTTTTGGTCAATTACTTTTTCATTGACTTGTCTTCTCATTCGTCCACTCACTATTCTAATTTTTGTTTAAGTTCTTCGTCTGTTAGATATAATTTATCTTTTTAGCTCATTATCCTAATCTTTTTCTTCTTTTTTTCTTCAGGGATCACACATCAAGCTCTAGAAAATCTAATTCATAAAAATTAACTTATTGTTACTGCAGAAACTCCACTACTGTTTTCCTCTGTATCGATCCACTTTCAAAACATGCTTTTTTGAATTCCTGCCAATTTGCTAAGGAATGATCATGACATTCCTGTGTCAACTACAAGGCCACTGTAAGGTGTATTTTCATAGCATAGTCAATGCAAGAATTGTAAATTGACTTGTATCATATGACTGGTTTGAAACAAGTAAGGTATTTTGTTTAGCTCAGCCAAGTTACTATTGAAAACAATTATAATATTCCGCTTTTCATACAGCGCCCAATACATCATTACAACGATGTGTCTCAGCGCTTTACAGATATATTGAAGGATGGGTACCTTATATCTGTGCTCAAAATACACTTGAGATATTATGATGTACTCTTTTGCCAATCTCTTATGACCTTTCAAAAGATATTTGAATACTACTACAACATAGGTGATAGCAGTATCCATTTACTTCTCCTAGCCACTATCCAGATATATAATTTTTTAATAGTTGAGATGTCCATGTAGATATTGATTTCTCTCATTCGTTCAATCAAATGTTTGCCTGGTAATAAGGGCATTCAAGGGTGCAATCCTAAGCATGCTTGTAATTAGAAATATAATTGCGAACACCCTTTTGATGGACACATATTTGTAAATGGCTATGCACAGTTCATTGGCATCTGGCTGTGAATTGTATTCACCCTAGTTGTAGATAAATTGCTAGAGATGCTGTAATAAACATACAAAACTAGTCTTGTCTATTGCCTAGAGATATTGAATATGATTACGCACCTGTCTGTAAGTCTTGTACCTTGATGTTAGTTGCTGATATAATATGGGTAGCAGGTGCCGTTAGATAAAAACTATTTATATTCAAAGTATCATTCAATTGAATATAAAAAAAATTCTAATCAGAATGGTGTTATCTTGGTTGGCTAAGGTTATCAATCATGAATCTCGTGATCTGAGAGTGCATTAAGAGGAATGGACAAACAAGTTCAATGCACCTGTATTCTGTTTCTGTAAAGTCCTTATTTCTCATTGGTTAGTTCCCTTGTGAGCTTAGTTTCATAAATATGGCCCAGATTTTAAGGTTGTAACTCTGTAAACATTTCTGAGGAAATTTCTCGTAAAACATGATTGTGAAGACTTTCAAGAAATCTGGGACCTGTTTCACAAAGCCCTTCTTCATTGACAAAAATCAGTGACAAATCTGCTGATAAACAATCAGAATCAAGGATTTCAGTAGCTTATAACAAAAACTGTCATTTGTCACTGATGACAAGTTTTGTGAAATGGGGTCAAGCTCAAAGACAATTTCAATGCACTATGGGTATTGCTTATAGAAATCATATTTGTTCATTTCAATATGTAATGTGTGAGGCTCTCTGAATTCCCCTCAAGTTAATTTCTTAATAGTCTCTGTAATAATGTTTTCAATATTACCAGACAAAGCAGGAATATCATCAAAAGAATAACATACACAAATCCATTTACAGTTATTATTTTGAAATAGTCTTCATTTCTTCTTACCAAATTTGGCATCATGATGTGACAAGGGAGGTAGAATTCATCCCCTGTAATTAGTACGATGAAGACAAGTGTCATCATGTTTGGTATCCATCTTCAGACTAGATCAAGAAGCTGATGCAATGGACCATAGATAATGAGTTATTAATGACCTAGTGAGGACAGATGGGTACTATCACCTCCTTTTAGAGTAATATTTGCCAGTTTTCTCATGAAGATGTCTCAGATGAGCAGTTTGCCACTCTTGAGATGATGGGTAGGTGTACAAGATAGTTCAGCCCATCTGGGGGGCATTTCATGAACTTGTCATCAGTGACAAATGACATTTTTTGTTACAAACTTCTGAAGTCCTTGCTTCTGATTGGTTATCAGCAGATTTGTCATTGATTTTTGTAATTTGTCATTGAAAAAAGGCTTTGTGAATGGGTCCCCGATTCTTCCTCTTCACATCACCTTCAATACATAATGTAAACAGTGTATCTGTGATATCAAAATCTCTTTTCAGTTTTTAGATACACACACAATATTAAGAATACTGAATTAAGAGAAAAGAGCTAGACTGGATCTAAGTTGAATTTGCTGAACCAGTTACAAATGTACAATATCTCTATGATAAACCTTTCCAATCCAATCCAAATGATATTTGATATAGCGTCTTTTTCTTGCGGTAACAAAGCACTGAACACACCACTCCTATTCAAAATTAAATTAAAGTTTTTAGAATTAAATTAAGTTATTTTTTTGAGCTGACAAATATGGTATCGGCTCTTTGTCTTTTTTGTCTCAATTTGAAGAAAAAAAAAAATGGTAACATAGAAGGACAGCTTGAGTTATATCTACTTTATTTTCATGATAATATTAGCTTGAACTTGTGTGCTCTAGTTTGAAATGATAGTATTGAGAAGATATCTGGACAATTTAGTCAAGTTTGCTTTGGGAATTACACTATTATAGTTTATTTTGATTTTGATTTCCACACAATATTTTTTTTCTGTTTGAAGATGAGCTTGAAGGCAATATTGTTTTATCTGCCTTTGAGCATAAGCAAGGTGTATGCCTCTATCAGTATATATATATATATATATATATATATGCCTCTCCATGCTGATGGCATTTGGAAGCATTCAATACTGAAAGCAAGAGAAAGAGATGCATGGATGTAACTATACCTTGTAGGCATAGGTACAGGAGTGATACAGGAGTGATACGGGAGTGATGAGAGATAACAGATGGTACTGAAGGTCATTGGCATATCTGTCTTATCTCTCTCTTTCTCTCTCACTCACACACACACACACATACATACACACACTCACCCTATCTCTCTCACCCACTCACCCTCTCTATCTCTATATCTGTCTCTATCTATCTCTCTCTCTCTCTCTCTCTCTCCCCCATCCCCTCCCTATCTTTATATCTCTCTCACACACATCCTCTGTCCCCCTCTCCCTCAATCTTTCTGTCACCCACTTCTTTCCTCTCTCTCTCTCTCTCTCTCTCTCTCTCTCTCTCTCTCACACACACACTCCCACTCCCCTCTCTATCTCTCTCACACACACACCCACTTCCCCATCCATCTCTCTATATATCTCTCTCTTTTCTATGATTTTCTGAGAGCTTGACAGAAAATATCCAGTTTTTGTAGTAAAGACAGCATCGTTTACATAATTGTGTGTGACTTTTATTTATTTATGTCAAGTTATTTTTGAGTTAATATGTTAGTATCATATCATATATATATATATTATAAGCTATAAATCAAGTAAAATACATCTAGTTGAACTTAAATTATTGACCGTAATTGAATTGAGATTATATATGTCTCACAGCTTGAGTGACCTGAAATCATTTTGATGGTGGTCTAAGGTTATATCACAAATATATTTCAAGATTATTGCTTTGATAGGAAGTGATCTCTTCTTACAAAAGTGGTCTTTAGAAGGTCTCTGGTCTCTGAAGTCTTCAGTTAAAACTTAAACTAAAAGATAATATGATTACATGTTCAACAAGGAGACATATCAATTGTCCAGATGGTCGTTTGGAAACATAATATGTGGAAGATAGTGTACCGTATATAAAGCGGGACTGCACTACTTGTAGCTACTTGCGCCCTCTATACAGCCAACAATGCCTAAGCGGTACCTGTTGATCCCCATGATACCCTTTTTCTTATGTTAATTGAGAGCTGATTTGATGAGATAACCACGTGTCAGTGACCACGCAGGGAGGTCTAATCCCTCCTGGCCAAACCACTGCAGATAGGCTTTTAAAAGGTATAAAATATATAAAGTGCAGGTGCAGGAAGAATTGTAGTGCTCTCTGTGACACCTCTATAATTAATGAAAAACCTCAATGTTTGCTCTGATATATTCTCCAGATGTCTCTATAAATAATCCAGTCTACTTCTTTTTCTTATATTTTCCTATTTTCTGTTATTTAATTATATGTACATTAACGTTGTTGTTCTGTATTTATTTCAAGATATTAAGCTGGAGAGTACAAGTATAAACATTTGTTTTCACTACTTTATTCTGTGTGTGGTTTGTGCATGTGTATGTTCTATTTTGTGATGTTTGTTTTATGTCAATCAATTTTATCAGATTTTTTTATTTACAATGTCTGTTTGTTTTAAAAAAAGGAATTAAGGGCTAATTTTCTTTTCTTTTTAATTCAGGTCAAAACGTCCAGCTAGCTAGCTTCGTAGCTAGCTGCACAGGACAATAAAACACTCTCTTTGGTGTAAGGGTATTAACTGAAAGTTTGTATTTACAAGAATTATTTTCTTATTTTTGTTGCGTAGCATCTTCTAACACCAAGCCTGTAGTGCAAGACAGCCGGTATGATTACATGAATCAGCTCCCATCAGCTGATGTTGTAAGTTATTAATCCATTGCCTACTGGAACCGAGTGGTTCCTGTATTATGCCTATGGGAATACAGTAGTCAAAGGGTTAACCTGTTAACTCCTGAATTCTCTCATTCCCATAGCTTAAAGGTAATACAAAGTTTTGGTATGGGGTAATGAATTTGGTTCAAATGAACATACTGGAAGCATATGCAATCCTACAGTATTCAGTGATCGTTGTCGCGGTTAAAATCGAGTCTAAAGTGATGTAATTGTAAATAATAAACTCTTTATGTTGTATAGCGCCCTCTCAAGGTCAAGATTTAATTTAGCTGTAAAACAATGTTATTTGACTAAAATCGACCGATTTGATATAACCGTTTGGAATATATATATCCGATCTGCATATTCTGAGATTTTTATGGTCGCACCTACCATCGTCTGGCCATAGGCGCTATTTCAAATTTATCAAAATTTACCGGGAGCACTGGTAAATTTTTATATTCAATTATATTCAAATTTTCTCGAAAGCAGAAGTGTTTTAGGGGCTAAATTTTTTAGTGCTTATAATACATCCATAGGGGCATCGAAATATATCAAAATTGTAAAGAATCACTATCCAGCCAATTTTCTAAATTTACCAAAACTTTGTAATACCTTTAATACAGGGATCACCCGGTTCCAGTAGACAAAGGGTTAAATGTTGAATATCCTCCTTATTAATAGACATTGCCAATAGCAGTTTTCTTTAGATTGTTGAAAGTTTTTAATGTTGTATACTTGTGAATAAGTCTGTTCTTAAATGTTAGATATAACCTTGCTGATTTTAAAGTAAATTGCTGAGGATTGTTATTTTGTGCATGACCGCAATAGTTTGCCATCTTTTCTTACAATACTTGTTTTCTTTCATTTGGGAACACAAAGAAAATGTATACTGCTCTTTTTAATTATTTTATTTCTTGTAATGCTTCAGACTGATGTATTTTCCTGAGGGTTTGGGGGGGGGGGTTGATTTTGATTCAACTGTGCATGGGTTATTTGTCATTAATAAGTTAACTTTGGAATAATATTTTCTTCATCTCTTTGTGACACTTACAGAGGCAGATCAGTGAGAAGAAACCTCGTCAAGTCCGAGAACCAGACGCCTCCTACAACAAAAGCCTTCCTGAGTACCTTCCTATCAAGTCCCCATCCATCTCAGACGATCGTTTCGATGATTTTGATTTCTCACCGCCCGTCACTGTCACAGCAACCAAACAGGAGGTACTTCCCAAAGTTGAACGTACTCCCTCTCTAGAATACAAGGTGGGGATTTTGAAATATTTAGGCACGGGCATGGAACATGGACGATCCAGCTAGCACGGTCATGCAGTGGTGGTGGTGGTGGTGCTTTTCACTTCAAGCAAATTAAAATGATTGCATTCAGCCTGCCTAAAAACTATGAACAAGCAAGCTGAGAGAAAGAAAGGCATTTACTCAATCTAAAAGTTTACAAGATCTCCGTGTATGAGTTATCACCCTTCAGGGCAGGCACTCAGTAAATGATACGAGAGTGAAGCCTTTCTTTTCTCTTGTTTTGCGCCCCAAAAAACTTTTCTGTTTCTTTTAATTTTGCACGGCCCGGTGTGACGTTACAAATTATGAAATAAAGATAAAGAAATAATTAGCTTTTGAAGAAATTTCAACAATTTTGGAGGTTGAATACAATCTAGATATTACTATTCTTACTTAGATTTAGATTGATGTCGTTAGTTGTTTTGGAAAGATAGACTTTGATGTAGCAGTTCAGAGATAAATACAAACAGAAAGATAGAAGGAAAGAGAAAGACCAAGATAGAAATGTAGAGCTAGATTTGCATAGATAGAAACAAAATATTTTTAGATGAAATATATAAAGATGGGTAGAAGATCAACATCTAATTAAAGATATATGTAGATGTAGAGATAGATAAAGATGTTTAGGATAGAGAGTGAGCTCACCAAGCAGTAGATCATGGGAATTACAGCAGGCCCTAATTTTTAAAATCTAATATCTCAAGTATAGGCGACTCTTGTTGTAATGAGAGAATGAAATGTCCTCAGTACCAAAATCATCTGACCTATTACCCCTTTTACATTTGATACAGGTCACACATATCCCTCATTCATGATAATAATGGTTAACTAAACATCCAAAGATTTCAAATTTTTAGCATGTTTTGATGTGATTCCCCCTTTAACTCTTGCCGTGCCAAGCCATTTTGGTTTTCAAACAAAAACATTTGCAGTGTTTTTTTTTCTTTAAAAAAAAAAGTTTGTGGAAAATGAATTGATCTCATAGCCTTACTACATTCACAAGTAATCCAAAATAGTTGTTTATAAATCATTTACGGTTACTGACTTACTTTTTGAAGATCGAGTAACTGGGACTAATTGAAGCAGTTCTTGAGCATCTAATGCAGTAACATTTTTTTAAAGGGCTCTAGGATCTTATCACATTGTGAACATTGCTGTGTGAGCGACACTTAAGGATCATCTTAATCAGTAGGCAATAGGAATGTGTGATTAGGTAGAACAGGTGGATGAACTAAAAGATAGATCTATTATCAAGGTAGGTGATCTACATGGATGGAAGGGGTGTATAGAGTTCAGACAATTAGGGGTACATTTAAAGAAGTGTAGCAAGATAGTATATCACTGGAAAGAAAAGGACTTAGGAAGATCTGAGGTGGTGTTGTGATGGACTCATTGGTCTTTTTATTGGTCCTTATGGTCAGTTCCCTCAACATAATATGCAGATCTAATTGAGACTAGTTAGCAGAAAACTTAATTACACACATACCTCCTATGATAGAAGAAAGAAGCTCAACTTGCCTTCATGAGGCCTGTTTTCATCAGCTCGAGATTGCCAAATAACCCGCTATTTTAACTATCTTGATCGCATATTATCCAGCTAATTTGCATCTTCATCAGCCCGCAGGTGCAATTGGTGGGATATTTGGTCGAGATAATCATCCCAAGATATCTTGGGCTAGTTTGCAAAATATCCCGCTGTTTGTCCGATGCATCTTCAACAGCCCGAAGATTCCCACTATGCGCGAATGCTGAGCAAAATTTCTCAAGCTCAAGTTTGGATGTTGAGTTTTGAGCTGATGAAGACATACATGTACCTAGTGAGATCTAGACTCTGTGCTGTTGCTCTTGGAGATACAGCTATCATCTGTGTTATCCTTTTCCCATAGACACGACTAAAAATGGGAGATTGTTTCAGCAATGAAATGAAGTGGATATCAATTCAAAAAATATAATAACAAATTTTTAACACATGTTACTATAACTATAAGCTGCAAAATTGATTTTGCCTGTAATAATTTTTAGTAGCCCATCTCCCCAATAAATGGAAAGGAATATATATTTTGGGGTTTCATAGAGAAACAGTTGAACTCAGTGGGAAGAAGATTTATAATGAAAGATGATTATGATATAACAATTAGGAAATACTCTAGTACTGATCTACATGTGTAAGTTGAAAGTCAGTCAACCATTAAAAACATTTTACAAGCCAATTCTTCCACAGAGGTAAGGAAGAACTAGTAGGGGATCCCTTTAAGTTGTATTCATCATTGTCATGTCCATCAATTGATTACGATGAGCCAAGGGAGGATGAACAGTTTAGATGTGATGGATGAGCTGATGAGTGAAAACAGGTGGACCTACTAAACAAGGTCTGGTTGACCTAGACTACATCAGTGACATACCTGGGAAACTCATCTATACTGCAGTACATGTATTCTCATACATGAGTAGACTACCGGTATACATTCTGTGCTGTGCTGTGCTGTGTTGTGTTGTGTCATAGACAATTTGCATTCATTGCTGTTGCTGTGAAAAGATGCTGTAAAATTGATTCTGAAATTGCAGCTGTTATCCTGCCAGTTGGGAGTTATGTTAGGCTTACCTATGACAAGCAAAGAGATGATCCATGTACAGATAGAAGGAGTCAGTATTACCACCTAATTGAGGTCATTGTGTTAAAAGCTGATGCAAGTCAACATACCTCTATCTCTTTCATCCCCCCCCCCTTCCCCTCACCCCCACCCCAAAGAAAAATATATAATAAGTTGTAAAAAGAAATAGAATAGGATGTTTAAAAACTCAGTAATTAATGGCATAGTAAAGCTAGCTCACAGTTCAATTATAAAGGATACATGTACCTAGTGTAACTTTTTTTTAAAGTCGTTATACATCAGTGCTCCACACAAATAACTTTTCTCTGGGTCTAGAGTATTATATCAAGGGTCCTAGTCTTGTAAGGGGGCTGGGGGAGTCCATTGTTAATATTTATTAACAAAATGGGGGGGGGGGATACTTGTGTTTACCAGACCCCTATTATTGCCAGGCCCTCTTTGCATAACATTCAAGATTTCATATTGATTAAGGTGGGCAATTGTAAATAGGATATTGCTATGTTGGGTAGGCCTTAGACAAGCTCCCATACCAAGTGTTTAGAATGCTTTACATGCATCATGTATCTCTAAAGGATAAACAACTGAGATACTTGATCACCCCACGTACTGGTCATCTTAACATACGATCCCAAGTTATTCTCTTGTTATTGTTGACTGTGTATAGCGAGACCCTCTGGAAAATGAGCAAAAGGTCACCCTGATCACTGACCATTAGGTTAGTATTGGACCTAAAAGGTCACCCTGATCACTGACCATTAGGATAGTATTGGCACTGAAAGGTCATGCCATTTGGTTTGGATTGCAGGGGAAGGGCAGGTGAAAATGCTATATGTTGAGATCCAGGGCCCGTTACCATTGATGGTAACGTTGCCATTAATGGTAACTACCATGGTAAATAACAGGGCTCAACAGCCAATCAAAATCAAGGTTTCCATGGAAGTTACCATTGATGGCAAGTTTTGTGCAACGGGCCCAGAAGCTGTCGTTTGTCTATCCATGCTATATCACGTTCTTTCACTTTCTCAATTTCAGCTGACGAGGGCCAGTGCCATAGCCGTATACCCCTTCACAGCACAAAGCAAAAAGTAAGTTTTCTAAATTCCTTCGATTGAAACTTTCTTGAGATTTACATATTTTCTGCTGAGAGCCAGAATGTCTCTCACCTGATGAAAGCAGAAATTCCATTTTTGAAAGCACATTGCCTCGCACAGTACTCATATAGTATGTGTATGTGCATATTAGCAATAGACCATTTCGTATTTAGCTTTGGTACAAATAACCCCCTGAATATCCACAGATCTTTAACACATACAGACGTCCCACTTTGTGCATTTTAGAACAAACAGTGCCAAAGTGATGGAGGTGCTTTGTGAATCACTCTTGCTAGCGCTCTTGACAAGAATACTTCCACCTGTGTATTATAGAATGTGCCGTCGGTACATAAATGAATCATGATTTCATAACTTTCATGAACATGTATCCAGTAATTGTCTCAGTGGGTTTTACAAGTTTTGTCCAAATGACCTTTATATGCTTATGCACGGGGTATATCTATAGTTGAACTGGCTTATTGACTTCAATGAATGGTGTAATAAGAATCACTGTGTAAAGTGCATTGAAACCCCCCCCCCCCCCCACTCAATGTAATTTAGGGTATGCATATGCTCGTTCCCTCTTTTTGAAAGCACCCCCTATCTGAGGACTGCCAATATTTCCAAACCCCCCTTTCGCGGGCATTTCGGGGGCTTTTCCTGCCTTGGAGACCCCCCTAAATCAGGAAAAATGCTCAATGTACCCCCCTAAATTCGGAATAATTTCTCAGGAGTCCAAAGAGATGAGAGAAAAAAAGAAAACACCCCCTTTTTAAAGAAATCTCCGGGTGAAAAGTCAAATACACCCCTTTTTTTTACAATTCTCGGGCCGGACTTTGTCGCACGAAAAGTACCCCTTTACCGGACATTTTGGCAACACGCATGCGGTCATTCCGACCTCTGAGTGGGGGGGCCGGGATTGAAACGCACACAATACACATGTGACTGTTATTATGATAATGATGCTCTGAATGATAGTATGGATCTTCATGAAAGTTTGCGATTTGATGATGACGATGATGATATGTCAGTGAAAGATGATGATGATGATGATGATGATGATGATGGTGGTGATGGTGATGGTGATGGTGGTGGTGGTGATGGTGATGGTGATGGTGATGATGATGATGATGATGATGATGATGATGATGATATGTCAGTGAAAATGTATGACAATGTTTCTGTCTGTTGTTATAGAGAGCTGAGTTTCAAGAAGGGTGATACCATTTACCTGACGAGGGAGATAGATAAGAACTGGGTGGAGGGAGAGCATCACGGCAATAAAGGCATCTTCCCAAGGACATATGTAGAGGTAAGATAGTGACAGAATTATATCTAAATGAATTTCATTCACATGTACTAGAAGGACTCATATTCAGATACAAAGAATTCTTTTCATCAAGTTGTGTTTCATTGTATGCAATTCACAAAAACAGAAAGACAAAAAAGATCAGAAAGAGAGTAATATAATGAAATGTACTGGTATACAAATTGATAAGCAAAATGACTCCATCAAAATTAAAAGGATGACGCAAAAAGAATATTCTTTAAAGATATAAGAAGACAGGAAATAGTTCTGAATTGAAGGAATGAAAGTATGAAAGATAAACAACAAAGAATATAGGATTGAACATTACATAAGATATTAAGGATGAAAAGATAAGTATATTTTAGGAGCAGACAACTCATAAGTAAAGCCAGAGTGACACAGAAAAGATAAAAGGAAACATGGACAAGTATTGAAAGAAGTGGTGTATAAAAACAATGAAATAGACAAAGAACAGCATATACAGTAGGCTTGCGGATGCACCATGTGACAGAGAGGGAGGATTGAGGTCGGTAATCAGTCCTGAAAAGGACTGTTGGTGTAGTCTTGAAAAAGACTGTTGGTTTTCTTTCTTGGCTTATACATGGTAGTTCTAAGGAGAACTATAGCGTTTGGAGAGGATGGGTGGCGGGAGGTGCTCGACTTTTCCAACAGGTTGACTATCTGTCGTCAGGAGTGAAAGAACAGCATGTCGGAAATGGAGAGGAGACACCTCATCTAACAAGAAATAATTTGGTTGTTTGATGTATTAGATTGTAACCAGTATTGAAGAAGCAAGGAATCTGCAAGTCAACGCACCAAGCGCAGAAGGAAAAGGCAGAGCTAAGTACAGATTCAAAGGAGAAACAGCCAATGAGCTTTCAGTCAATAAGGTGAGAATAAAAAATATGGTTACTATGGCAACAGATTAGAAAGTATATTGATATGTAGTTTAAAGTGATCGTCCAACCCATCCTGTAATTTCTTTCCTAAATGTAAATATACATTAAAATTTGAAATATCAAGTCGTAGATTATATATATGCGACTATGCTGGGATAAGCAAGAATTCAGCATATAACAAAGTGATATTATATATTTATTGATTGCTACTGTCCATCTCACTCTTTCTCTCTGTCTTGTATTTTTAGGGTGAGATTGTGGATCTGGTGAGGAAGATAGATAATAACTGGTGGGAGGTTCGTCATGGCAACAAGGCTGGCATTGTACCGGTGGCTTATCTGGATGTACTAAGAGAACCACAGCAAGGTATGCTGATCATATATTCCATTTTCTCTCGAAATAATGAATCAACTTGTAGGACTCGCCTGGAGTTCTATGTAATGTTAAACTAAAACAACTATCTCTCATTGGTAAATAATGGTCAAAGTTGGTCAACATTCTGGAAACGGCCTTCATATATCCAGCTGCAACAATCAATGTAATGAATGATTGTAATCTTTAAATCTTTCTTTGCCTACTTATCTATCTGAAAAAAAAGTTTAAACAAATATTCTTCCCTCATTTCTTTTTTAGATTTCCTGGGTATATGATTGCAAAATGTGATCTAAGAGTGTAGTTCAAGTTCTGATGAGATGTAGCATTCTCAATTCTGTGGTTGATTCCTAGTATTGATTGTTTCATTTCTGTTTTTGTCTATGGGCCTTCATGGCCAATCAAGGGGGATGTTGCATACATGTAGCTTGAATCCCAACCATATAGAGTTCAATCATCAGCATAAGTCATGTGACAGGTCATATGACCTTGGTCACATGACCATTGTTTACCAACATACCTGCCATTTTATACCAGGGCATGATGCATGCATCCTTTTTTGATCACACCCATTCCAGAATACTGACATTCAAGGTCAATGCACACCAGAATAGAGTACAGCATTGATGGTATGCATAGGAACAGGGTTGCATTTAGTCTGTTACTGTGTTCATCAACAATTTTGCTGTGGAATATTGACTTCATATACATTGTACATGTAGTAACATTAATAATAGTTTGTCATTGTGTCATTTATTCATTTGTTCAGCTATCTAATAAAGACAAATGAAAGTAATCTTAATATTAAGTGCCAGACTAGGCCCGTACCTCAAAAAACATGTAAATGTATAAATTCGTCGCTGTTTTCACGAAGTGACGGTAGTGAACAAAAATTGCATTCACTTTGCGTTACGATTTTCCTCACTACCGTCACTTCGTGAAAACAAGGACAAATTGTTGCCTTGTAAATAGGCATGAGATACATATACCAGTTAACTATAAATAAAGTGGACATCAAGCTTTGCTTCTTTCTTTTTTCTTTTGCTCTTTAATAATTAATTATCCATGCTACAGGTATGTATAAAGTTGAGAATGTTAAAATAATAGCAGTGATAATTTAAAATTGTTCTTCTAATCAGGGTTGTCATCACCCCAGCCAAAGTCTCCTGCCAGCTCTGGTGGTGGGCGTGGCCCTCTGAGCCCCAACCAGGCACCCCGGTCTCCCTCCATCCAGGCACACCGGTCCCCCTCAACCCAGGCACCCCGATCCCCCTCCACCCAGGCACCCCGATCCCCTTCAGCACCGGCAGATAATCTCTACCAACCCAGTAGTCCTTACCAGTCGGATACGCCTACACTTGGTAGACAGCAACCCTCCCACCAGAACAGGGCGGGGCAAGGATCGAGGAGTGGTGGTGGTGGTGGTGGTCAGAGGGGGATGCAACCAACAGGTGGCAGACCTGCTCAGGTGGGTATAATCTACACATCTTACCTGGTTGATACATCAAGGGGTCATTGACACAAAGACTTAACACCATTTTGGCCATTTTGAGAAAAAGTGGTTTATGTGTCACTGAGCATTTGGGCCTTAAGGAGTTACGTCTATGTTTCACTAGCCATTGACTTCAATAGGGTGTTGGGTGGAGTTAAGTCTTTGTGTTGTCTGAAAAGCTTACATTTTTCTGAACATTTTGATATCAAATACTCATTTTGGCAAAATATGGAGTTACGTCTTTGTGTCACTGAACCCTCAACATGTACTTGCTACCTACTGGAGGTAGAATCTAGGAGTGGTTTCAATTCCAATCTACCAGTCTACCAGTGATCTGGATTTGCACAATTTCATGCCACAGAGCAAACAAAAAAAGTTGCAAATCCCCAATTTTTTGCTGTAAAAATTGCTGCTGTCAATAGTTCACAAAAGTTTCTGGTTTTGCAGTATTCCATTTCACCTCTCATGTATAGTACCTGTAGTATCTCTAACAATGGAATCTCCCTGCCAACCATTATATATTCATGGATCTTGAAGCCCCACTGCACTACTTATAGCTACTTGCGCCCTCTATATAGCAAACAATGCCTAATCAGTGACCATTAGTCCACCATGATCCTCTTTTTCTTATGTTAAGTGAGAGCTGATTTTATGAGATAACCACATATCAAGTGACCTGGGCTTTAACTCTTTTGTAGAAATTTAACTAGTAAATAATTGAACTTTGCTTTTTCAATTCTAGAAGCAAATTATTTGATCGCTGTAATACTTTTGGACTAGATAATCACACATAGTCAATTCACACCTAACATTGCAAATCTGATTTCAATAATAGATTATTTCCAATAACTTATATTTTTATTTTTTTAAAGACATTGGGATATCCAACCAAGCCGCCCTAAATGTCCATGCATTGTTTGATAATTTGAGGTGATTTTTTTTCTCTCTGGAACCATTTCTATTTATTTGTTAATACTCATCTTTTATTATCCCTTTAGAATGCTGGCTTCCATCAAAAACGTCCCGATGGTGAAAGGTACGTATATGTTTCCATGCCAACCATTGAGTTCTATTACATTTTTGCCAATTTTACTCAATAATGGTGTCAATAATACAATCTGATATTTGTATAGCACTCATATCCACCATGCAAGGTACTCAAAGTGCTCCATTATTACTCCGGCTCCAGCCAAGTTTGATCAACATTCATGTAGAGTCAGTTGGTCTCGCTGTCTGATTTCTGATTTGGATTATTTCTAGGGTTAGGGTTATGGTTATGTATAGTGTTCAGTCATAGAGTTACAGGCCCGAATCCACTAAGAAGGTTTGTAGACAAACCTAGGAGTTTCAGACCAAGGTTTGTCTGAACCTTGGTCTGAAACGTATCTAAACGCGTCACATGACGCCGCACATAACCCTAGGTTTGTCGACAAACCTCCTTTGTGAATTCGGGCCAAAGTGTTCAGCATTGTGTTTCCTCAGAAAAAAAAGGATATTATAAAGCCATTTTTGACAACTGTACATGAAGCTTCACTCCTAGAAACCAAACTAACTTACTATCATGTACTAGTTTTACATGTATATTGTGGTAAAGGATAGGCATTCCCTTTGTGAAAGATATAGCAAAAATTCGCAGAAAAAGTTATACCCTTAAATACACCAACACAGATATGATAACAGGGTAATATGTTGTAGGTAGACAATATATGTTAATTCTACATAGCCCGACTTCTCATGGACTGTTTTGTTTTGTTTAAACTTCGCTGTTTGACTTAACATTTACTTTTAGGATTGTTTGGCAGATAGTACATATATATTCATAAATTTAGAAATAACTCTTGAGTGATGCCCAAACTTAAAATGTACCAATCACCTGATATAGTATAGCTAGAATGTATAAAATCAATGCTGTCAAACTGAACCTGGCATTCTATAGATTAAAGGTAATGCAAAGTTTTGGGAAATTTAGAAAATTGGATAGATAGTAATTCTTTAGAATTTTGATATATTTGGATGCCCCTGTGGATGTATTATAAGCACTACTTAATTTAGCCCCCTCAAACACTTCTGCTTTTGAGAAATTGAATAATCAAAATTTACTGGTGCTCTCGGTAAATTCCAAATATTTCAAATAGCGCCTTAGACCATTCCATGGTAGCTGCGACAATGAAAATCTCGGAATATGCCGTTCTGATATCAAACTGGAATAGAAAATTGGTTGATTGTAGTCAAGAAACATTGTTTTAAAGCTATAGTAATATCAGGCTCGAGAGCGAGCTATACAACATAAAGAGTTTATTATTTACAGTTTCATAACTTTAGACTCAATTTCAACCGCGACAACGATCACTGAATATTGTAGGATTGCATATGCTTCCAATATGTTCATTTGAACCAAATTCATGACCCCACACCAAAACTTTGTATTACCTTTAAGGTATAAGAAAAAATAAAGATTAATATTAAGCCCAGTGTATGGAACCCAAGTCCAAATTGGGTCCAGTATTCTTTGCAAGCATGTCTGCGTGCATCAACTAGTCTACTCTGCTCAACAAGTCATGCTTATGTATTCTGTCATGTCTCTTTATAGAAGTCAATTTGAAGCTCCTATTTGATGATAATTAATAGTTTGTTCTTGTAGATCTTATGCAGGCCCTCTCAAAGCACTTTACATATATATATTATTACCCTGGTCATTAGATTCAGGCTTACCCGCACACAACGTATGCACACTTTCCACTCCCTAGGGAGCATTCCAGCCAGGCGTCATTTTTCCAAGCACACACTTGCTCGTCTAATGAATACAGTACAGCGACATGGTACTCCTTGCATCAAGAGCAACACATCTTTGGGAGATTTTAGATTACCTTTGGATTATCTTCAAAGATTAAACTATTATTATCATTATCGTATTCATTATTGTCGTTGTTGTTTATTATTAATGTCATTATCATAATGATTGCATTGTAGATTCCGTGCAGTGTACAGCTACCAGCCTAGCAACGATGATGAGCTAGAGATCATGGAAGGAGAAACGGTGGTTGTCATGGAGAAATGTGATGATGGTTGGTATGTGGGATTCTCAGAAGCAACAGGACGATTCGGTACCTTCCCTGGGAACTACGTGCAGAGACTATGTAAGTCATAATCATTGTTTTCCAATGAAATCGCTCAGCTCAGTATAAATGTATTGTGTTTTTAAGACCAGGGGGTACTTCATAAAGCTGTGCTTTAAGTTACACATGACTTTACGAATGACTTAAATATCAAGAGCAAAATGAGATTCTCAAATCCTTTTAATTGCATAAGCTAAAGTTGAAATATGCAGATGTAGATCAACCTTATCAGTATTAACAAAATATTTTAATGCAAAGTGTATTATTGGCTACAATTTAATTGAGATTATGGGAAATACAGTCACACTTTGTTATAATGTCAGCAAAAACTTTGGGCATCCAATTTTGCTCTTCATATTCATATCATTTGTAAAGTCATTCCTAACTTTACGCCCCAGAAGGGCCGTCAATTGACACAGGTTGAACACCATTCAGCTTTCGACGGGCAATATGTGTGTGTATTTTTTTTGGGGGGGGGGGGGGGCAGAAATCAATGGTTCATTCCACATAGTCTTCTAATTTGTTCAGGTTTAAAATACAGGGGATATGGGCATGATGATGATGATGATGATGATGATGATGATGACGATGATGATGACGATGATGATGAGGATGAGGATGATGACGATGATGATGATGATGATGATGATGATGATGGTGGTGGTGATGGTAAAGATGATGGTGATTTTGATGGTGATGGTGATGATGATGATGATGGTGATGATAATGATGATAATGATGATGATGAAGATGTTGGTTTCTTTCCATGGATGTATATGAGGATGTTCGTAGTAATAGCGATATACTTCTTAATTGCTTGCAGCGAGGAGCCATTGCGGTCCTTCATCTCAGTGATTGATGTAGCAACCATGATGATAACTTTCAGTCTTTTCAAATGGCTCATTGAGTGTATGTTGTACATTGAGTGTATGTTGCACTCTCGTGTGAACTCAAACTATAAATCATGGGAAAAAGCTTCAGGAATTGGGTCTATTAGATCCCTATTATTCAGAGGGGATGAATGAATAGATCATCCCCCTGAACAATAGGTATTATCTAGACCATGATATTTAGGACTATAGATGATCATCATTTATTGCCTAGTAACCTTGGTACTAGTCCACAGTTGAGCTGGTGTAAAGAATGACTATTGATCAATGAATCACAATTAATGATGGTCGACGTGTGCCAGATGTCTGTGAAGCTTACACAATGTCGCTTCATACTTGTGTTGCGTGCCTTACCCACATCAAAGAAACATTTCACCCATTAAATCTCTTCTACAGCTGTGTCTGAAATTAGTTTATATTCTTGAAAATCCCTCAACCAAGCACATTGAATCGTACGTATTTTGTAGCACTTAAAATAGGTGACGTGTAACACATAAGCAATTACATATAAGAAAGAAAGTCATGACTTTTTAATGAGGGGAGGAGGGGGGGGGGTAGCAAACTGATAATATCATGTGAACACTGTGATAGGATGTGTACAAACATTTTGATTGTTACCCTGACAACTAGATCCTAGATGATTTCCGCTTTAAATTCATTCCCCCATAGTGGGGGCGGGATTTGGAGAGAGAGGGGGCAGAGGGACAGCTAGAAAGGGGAAGAGAGAGGGGGGGAAGAGAGACAAAAAAAGAGGTAGAGAGAGAAAAAAATAGAGAGGCAGAGAGAGGAGGAAGGAGGAGAGGTAGTACAAATCAGTGGATCAAGCTAAGGGGTTTAGGGGGTTTAAACCTCCCTCCCCCCCCCCCCCCCGAAAAAAAAGTAACCCCCCTCAAAAAAAAAATATATATTGGTCAGCACTTATTTCAAATTTTGGCCCCCCCTCCCCCCTTCTTGGAAAATCCTGGATCTGCCAGTGGGTCAACCCCCACCCTCACTCCCCCCTCACCCCCTCACCCCCCCCCCCCCCTTATAGCAAAAAACTAGATCTGCCCCTGCAAGGGCATAAACACAGATAGACGTGAGGGGCTGGTGACTCTGTCTCACCAGCTTCTGTCTCAGGAAGCTTGAACAAAAATCATGTCACATTATTGAATTAAGGCCTTTGTTGTTTTAAAGGCCCACTGCACTACTTGTAGCTACTCGCGCCCTCTATATAACAAACAATGCCTAATCGGTGACCATTGGTCCCCCATGATCCTCTTTGTCTTACGTTAACTGAGAGCTGAGTTGATGAGATAACCACCTGTCCAGTGACCTTGCAGAGCGGTCTAATCCCTCCCATAAACTAGTACAGATAAGCTTTAAAGTTGCTCAAGCGTGGGTATATAGAGGGCAGCACACGGACGTTCGCACAGGAGCGTAATATCCATTAGCTCAGTGTTATGTAGTGATAGCCAAGTTGTCTACTTCATGAACGACTATATACCCACACATGAACATCTTTAATAGGGTTTTGCTTGGCTGGACCCCACGCAGAAGCAGACCCTGATTTTTAAAAGTTCGCTCTATGTGGAGAACGTTTGCAAAATTAAGAAACACGTGCTGCAATCCAATCATAAAAGATTTGCATGGCTAAACTCCATGTACATCATCAGTAGCGTAGATCCTTACTTGATTAATACCTATTGTTCAGGGGAGCTAGTGATCTTTTCACTGATGTACATGGAGGTAGGGACATTACAGCATACATGAATTCAGAAAGATGAGTGCATGTGCACATTGCTCTTACAATGAAAATCAAATTTGAGCGTCGTTAGCTGCAAACAATGACCCTTTTGTTCAATCTTTGATTTTCTAAGAAAACTAGTTTCATTAAACTGATGAATAGATTTAAATGTGATACTTGTCTGATTCAAACTTAAATGATAATCATGAAAGTGTTCCGTAGCATGACAATAGCAGTACGGTAATAATAATGTATACTTTGCCCTGGCTCACCAACTTTTTTTTGCTTGCTTGCTTGTCAGTAATTTTAGGGTGTTACAATTAACCTCATGCCCCAAAATGTAATGACCTTCTAGGGGAATATGATATCTCCTCCTTCTCCTTTTCAGAATCATGGAACATTCCCTTTACAAGACCACTTTATTATTTTCATACATTTCTTTAAAACAAGATTATCGTATGATCATGGATCTTCTACTGTAGATGAGCATACATCATCCATGCTTGATATTTTATTTCTTTTTAGATATACAATCCCTGGACCACATCTTTGTAAGGCTCGTTTACACCCCTATTCATTCAAGGGACCCGTTTTACGAAGCCTTTTTTCAATGACATATCTGCTGATAACCAATCAGAAGCAAGGATTTCACTAGCTTATAACAAAAACTGTCATTTGTCACTCATGACAAGTTTTGTGAAATGGGGCCCAGATATATACATTCCTACTAATTTGAACAGCGTTTACTCATTTCATTTGTTTTAATATTTTATATTTTTATGATCAAAGGTTTTCTTTCATTGATAGTCCATGAACTGTTTGTGACCTCATTCATAGTCTTTTCTGTGTAATTGTGATGATTTATTTCCTACATATGACCACAATACACAATGACATTATGATGAATGTAGTGTGAAGTCGTTCCTACATACATGTAACATATGAATATTATTTATAACATGAAAGTGCATTGCAAGTGTTGAGAGTGAGAGAGAGAGAGAATGAGAGAGAGAGAGAGAGAGAGAGAGGATGAGAGAAAGAGAGAGAGTGTGTGCGTGTGTGTGTGTGAGAGAGAGAGAGAGAGAGAGTGTGTGTGTGTGTGTGTGTGTGTGAGAGAGAGAGAGAGGGGGAGTGAATTAGAGTGAAAGAGAGAGAGAAAGAGAGAGGTTGAAAAATTGAATAAATGAAATGAATATAGACACCGACCTCATCTTATTAGTGAAACCATTCATCTGTTAACCAGTATGATGTACTATGGAATATTATTTCTTCTCATTACCATATAAGATTGATGAGTGGTATTGCGGTCATGTATATGGAAATGGGCAAAAAGGGCTAATCGGCTTAACAAAACTGACCAAACATTTCACTGAACGTTTCTGTTAACCAAAATGGGTATGAATGAAATAATTAATTGCATTTGTGAAATGTGTCGGTGGAAGGTCAAGAGGGGGGAAGAGATGAGGTTTTTCAGAATTAAATGCTAATTGTGAGATGATGAATTATTAATGAATGCAGGTGTGTTATAGCATGCTTGTGTGCTGGATTTTTGTAATTATTTATTTATTTATATTTAGTTTTCAGGGGAGGAGAAATCATATATATTAGCTGGGTAGTCAATTCAATTTCAAGAGTCTCAACACTTTTTTGGGGCGATTAAAATAGTACAATGTTATGACAAAGCATTTATTCTTTATCTTCTCTTCCCTCATGTCTGCTATTCTCCCTTTTCTTTTTTCTGAGCCCATAGGGACATAAATTTTATTTTTGTGATATGCACTATATAAGAATGGCTTATTATTATTATTATTATTCAATATTGCCATTGACTACCATGCTTCAGAGAGCAATGAACTTCCAAGTGGCAGGCTCAAAACCTTATGGCAGAACTCACAAGACCTGGGGAGTGTTTCACAAAGATTAAGATCAACTTTAAGTTGGACTTAACTATGGCAGGCCGTTTATGCCACTGTTTACTCTCACCCTTTACTGGCATTGGTCTCTCAAGGGACGTACAAATCATAGTCACAAATCTAAAGAATTTACATTTTTTAATAGTTCGTTATTGAAGGAAAAAATATTATCTAAAGATCATAATTGAGATACCAATGGTGAGAGCAACCAGTGGCATGAATGGCCTGCCATAGTTAAGTCCAGCTTAAAGTTGATCTTAGTCTTTGTGAACACCCCCGTAAGGTTTGGAGAAAACCCAGCAGTATAAATTATGATTATGATTGACTATCATACGTCATTTAAGCATATTGTCTAATATATGTTTTTTCTTCTCTCTCCCTCTCGCTCTCTCTCTCCCTCTTGCTCTCTCTCTCCCTGTATCTTTTAGAACATGTCACAAAGAAAGAGCTCAACATCCTAGCAATCCTGAGACAAACAAGATGATGAAACAAGATTACAAGATGAATTTTGACAAGATGGAAGCCTTACCAACCACTGTAAAAGTATCATCATTGGATTGGTAGTCCATCATTATTTATTCATCGAGGCACATGGGCACCTTTCCAGTATCTAGATTGAAACTACATGATTGGGCAGATGAGACAAGAAATGAAACAAGTATTAACCCTTTGCTTGTGGGAACCTGGTGGTCCCTGTGTTAAGCCTATGGGACCTGTAAAATTCAGTAGTCAACGGCTTAAGCCATGACTCAACTACACTGGTTGTCTGATTCTTACATGTATGTACCATGCATGCATTGTTCCATACACACCACTCTGCTGTCCATACTGTGTGTATTGTCATGCCGTGTTTTAATCTACAGATAGATGAGACAAAAAATGAAACAAGTATTAAGCCATGACTCAACTACACTGTTTGTCTGATTCTTACATGTATGTACCATGCATGCATGCATTGTTCCATACACACCACTATGCTGTCCATACTGTGTGTATTGTCATGCCGTGTTTTAATCTACAGATAGATGAGACAAAAAATGAAACAAGTATTAAGCCATGACTCAACTACACTGTTTGTCTGATTCTTACATGTATGTACCATGCATGCATGCATTGTTCCATACACACCACTATGCTGTCCATACTGTGTGTATTGTCATGCCGTGTTTTAATCTACAGATAGATGAGACAAGAAATGAAACATGACTCGACTACACTGTTTGTCTGATTCTTACATGTATGTACCATGCATGCATTGTTCCATACACACCACTATGCTGTCCATACTGTGTGTATTTTCATGCCATGTTTTAATCTACAGATAGATGAGACAAGAAATGAAACATGACTCGACTACACTGTTTGTCTGATTCTTACATGTATGTACCATGCCTTCATACACCACTATGCTGTCCATACTGTGTGTATTGTCATGCTGTGTTTTAATCTATGGATGGATAGGTTAACTGAAAATGTACAATGTACATTTAGGTCCCATTTCATTAAACTTATTGTCAATACCAAGTTGCAACTCCTGTTATAAGCTACTGCAATTGTTGCATTTAATAGGCTGTGAGCAAAATTTGTTACAGGAATGTGATACTTGTTATTGATAAAAAGTTGAATAAATTAGGGCCCTATTGGACATGGGTGTTAAGTTATCAGACAATAATTTCATGAATAGATTCACATTGATATTTTGATCAATCATCGATTGGATTTATATTTTGTACAATTATGTACAGATTTTATTCTCAGCTTGTGGCATGTGTTTCTTTCAATGATTATTCTTAGATCACTTGCAATGAATTTCAAGATAAAAACTACACCAGGAAGGTGCATATTGTCTTTCTTATTATGCAGACATTAAAAACAGAGTTTGATGTATGCTGTAAAATGGAACATGGAACTTAAAAGATAAGGGGATTGAAGCAAAAAACTTGTAAGTTTTCTCAAAACAACCATAAATGTTAATGTGGTATGAAGGGTTAACTAATGGTGATCTAGGGATGGTTTCAAAGATACTAAGTGGATGAAAATTGATATAACATGGAATTAACTCTGAAATGTTTGATAAAATGGATGCTAAACTAGTAAAAGTACTAGGTACGTCTTGAAAAGAATGGCAGATAATGTGGACGGTGGTGTTAAGAACTTTTTTTACAAGAATTTTCAAATAATATAAAAAGAACATTGAATAAAAAGAGAAAAACTATTTTTTTTTGTGAACTGCATGATTGTGAAATATACAAGGGTGAGCATTTTATCTCATTTCTAAAGCTTTGTAATCTTAGAATCTTGTGTTTTTAGAAATCTCATAGCTTTAATGTGTGAACGATATTTTACAGAATAAGTTATATAATTATTTAGATGTTCTTCTTCTGTATATTGTATATTTATTTCAGAAGTTGATTTGTAACAAATAGCATGTATCAGGATGTAATGATCACAACATTTGCATCAGACACTCAATATGCTATTATTCTAGAATATTATTTCTTCTTTTTCTCATTTTTTATTTACTTTATTGTGCATGTTATATATATAAAGCAGTCAGATTCATATGTTTATATTTCATCCAGTGTAAGTTTGGTCTGTGTTGCTCTGTTATGTCAGGTAACTTCTTATTGTCCCTTGAATACTACACTACCTGTGTGGAGTTTAAAAATGTTCTATTTTATTGAGTTAACTGTTACATGGCATTCTGGATTCATTATTCCCAAGTTTGTAATTCAATGGAGAGAAAAAATAGCCAAAGGTGATAAAAAGGCAGTAGAAAAGACCACAGATGTAGAATTAAAGATTTGAGGAAGATATAGTCAGAGAGTAGATTATACGAGTGTACATTTGTACATTTGATTCCAAAATATACATTAAAATATAAGCATCTGAAACACTCTGTTATATTTTTTTCTCTTTCATTAAGATTACAAGATTGATCCCATAAAATTGCGAAAGATAAGGTTCACAAATTCATAAAACCAAAACCTATAGTGTATGTGCCTACGTGGTACTTTCTTCATAAGCCTTGTGATGTTGATTCACAGTATATAGTCAGTACTGTTTTAGTTTAATTCAGTAGTACCATACTTATCATAGTCTTGTAGTTCTATCTAAAAAAGAAAAAAATATTTTGATAGCTCATGTTGTTAAAAAATATACTTTTTACTTGAATCCCTATTCAGGTCCACAACATTCTAGTGAAACTCATGAACAAGAAAGGTACTCCTTTCCTTAATATTTTTAATTTTTTAATTTTAAATATTAGCACTGCCAATATTTAATGATTGTGATTTAATTCTTGGGTTATAATCATGAACATAGATATTTTGGAATTTGAACCTTCTAAATCATGTAAAGTTTATATCAAAATCAAATCACTGCAGAAAATGTTTGCAATTAAAATAACATCATTTTAAACTATGCAATGAGGTATCATTAAATTGCCATTTAAGAATAAAGTATTAATTCTTGATTTAGATTAGTAATAAATTATGTGTGTCTACAACCCCCCATGACGATTATCAATTGGACTGCATGTTTTTCTGTTTTCTACGCATGTCTTGATGATGTATTAAATTGTTCTTGGAATCCGTCAGGCATAATGGTGATTGGTTTGTTACTCAGCTCACTGCAGCAATGGAAGCATGAAGAAATAATCAGGATCTTGTCTTCATTCTCTGCTTTAAAATCAAAACTACTTGATCGCTAAAACTGTTCATGCTATATGATTACCTGCTGATATCAAACATAGTCTATGAAGACATTATTTTGTTCAAAATCAAATTGGAATAATTGACTTTTTATTGAAAATGACTTTACAGAGTTGAAGGCTCTAGGTTTTTGCAATTTTACCATCGTCTTTCTATGAAATTAAATTGTAAGTAATGCCCTGTTGTAAAAGAATTCTTTAAACATCTGTAGGTGCACATGTATTACCTTAGTATTTTGGAAAATCATACAGTCGGTGTAGGTTACTAAGGAGCTGTGTTACCATTGCTATTGATTTGTGATGTACAACCCCTTTCTGCGTATCGAGATGAAAGATGAAAGAAATTGTATAAACTTATATTAAATGCTTTTTGGGTGCATTATTTCTGTATCATTTGACTGGACATTATCCAGTAAAGAAGGGCTGTATACCTATGAAAGTGGGGCTATGGGAATGCACCTTTTCTGCTAAGCAGTAAACAAATGGTTTGTGAATGGAAATCTGATTGTGTAGACAAGCATTACTGGTATATAGTTATACTGCTATGCTGTGAGAAGAGGCTGTCTAACTACAATACAAAGAAGATCGGCAATGTGTATGTGCTCCTGTTAATGAAACCAGTAAACCATGTTGTGAGGGATTCCACATCCATGTTTTGTAGAGGCCCATCCTCACTGCCGTTTACATGTACTATGCCTGCAGTCACAGTAGTGTGAATATATTTTGAGCACCCCGGCCTCGATACTCTGTATAGATGTGTGTTGTCTCCATATTTAATTGTACTCTATTGTGATGTGATCAAAATTTAATTTATTCAAAAACAATGTACTAGTATGTCTATATGAGTGACTGCCTACAATGTACTAGTATGTCTATGTGAGTGACTGCCTACAATGTACTGGTATGTTTATGTGAGTGACTGCCTTGTAATTTCATAAAATTGTTAGAGAGAATGAGAGCAAGATGTTTTGCTTGAATGTTTTTAGAGTACTATGTATTATATTTCATATATAGAGTTTTATCATAGAGGAAGAAAATATGAAAGAAATGAGATTCAGTCATAGATTTACTTTGCAACCAGTAGTTAGTCACTATTTTTAATTTTTTGCTTTTTACATAAAGATTTGTCTGCATATTGCATGATGGTACATGTACAATATCTGTGAGTGTATTTTTCTTGCAAAAAAATGAACGATATTTATAGAATGTGTCTTTTAATGTTACCAATGTACTGATCCCCTCATTGCATGGTGTTTTTGATTAACCAAAATTTGCATAAAAATATATAAAAAAGAAAAGTGAAATATATATTTTGATGAAACTATTACTGGAAGATGTTTGCTAATTCAAGATATTCTTAAGTGCCTTTGTGGGAGATCATTCTGATGTGACAGATAGTGTTATAGGGTAATTATAAATATCAACTATATGTATTTTTGGATATCCATTTCTCAAATCTACTACTTTCACCCAGATCATTTGCTCTTTTCCAAGCAGTCACTCATTCAGAAATATTTGGAGGGCTATTAAGATGAAATAATAAAGCTTTTTAACATTACCCCATGCTTTTGAGATAAATAAATGTAAAGAAAGCTAGGCATCGCTAATAGGACTGCCTTTTTTCTCTCAATGATTTTATATTTATACTTAGGAAAATAAAGACCCCCATCAGAAACAATATCCTTTGCTGAGAAGGGTATTGAAATAATTAAAAATTAACCAACTGACTGTCACTATCAAGACCTGTATTACTGTGACATTTCAACTGCCAAGCTTTTAGAAATAGAAAAATTAGCAAACTAATTTGAATGTAAATACCTCATCTGATAATGAATAGTTTTATTTTTCTTCTAGAGTGATAAAGATAATGTATTTAACATGTGCCAGTCTGAAAGTCTTTGAAGCCCATTTTCTGCTGAAGGCATTTACATTCAGTGTGAATATCTCACCAGATAATGACTCATTTTATTTTTTTCTTGTTGAGTGAAAATGACTGATACTGGCACATGTTTTCATCGGGTGTGTTCACACTTGTGATATATTCTTTTATTTAATTAATTAAATGTGAACAGCCTATAAATGATGATGCATTATGAAATATTACTTTATGCTCAGTTTGGTATCACTTCTCATTCATTCAAGCTGAAGTGTTATTTTGTATTTATTTTTTAAATAATTATAGTTTGATATACATAGCTATGTGTCCTACATACATCAAGCTGCTACCATGTTTTTAGTATGTAGGAATTCATAACTCTGTCAGTTTGTTGCCATTTTATTTTTCATTTTTCTCCTTTATTTTGCCCACTATTTTACAAAAAGATTTATGAGTATATTTCTATACCACCTCTTGAATGTTATGGTGTACAGAGTTGAAGTTGATGTAATGGGGACTTTCCCACGGTTACAAACTTGTTGTGAACCTTGCACAAATTGTGCACAACCCCATTAAACAGTGCTTTGTTACATTACAAAGGGGCTGTGCCTGGCACTGGAGTGAGAAAGATATTTAGCATGCACCAGTCGGAATATTTATGAAGTCCTGTTTATGCTTTAGACGTTTTGTTTCCTTTCCTTTTTGTATAAATACATTTCTCGATATCTCAACATCTATCTTTGGATTTAATAAATAGGGTATTAAATATTTTCACTTTTTATACTTCAGTTCAAGATAAGGCCAGTACAAATTGACCTTGGTGGTTTTGTCAATAATGCAAGCTACTGATATGGGTGGCAGCTTAAATTTAATTTTCACTATGTATGGAGTCTATGGTGCACATTAACATATGATTTACTTCCCTGGAAGAAAAAAAGTTATTATTATTAGAAAACATCTCTTGCAATACCATCTGGGAGCACTGTTTGCATTGCCCCTTATTGAGCTGACTTCATTTCAATAATTTTTCTGTCTAAATCTGTTCTATAATGTTGCACTTAATAATTACAGAATGTGAAATTGAAAGTGACCGTGTGAGATAGGCTTATGACAAATGTATAAATGTGTTGCCATGGTTATATGATATACATTATTACTAACATAAATTCTCAACTGTGGTATAAAAATACCTGCATGAATTTTTAAATGAATGCTTGTGAAATAATTGTAGTGTTTTTTGTAATAAATGGTAGATTTTTTTTTGCTAGTAAAAATGGCACAAGAAGTTTTGGAGTCACAAAACCTTTAAGGTTTCTAAGGAAGGTTTCTTTGACTTTGTCAATTTATTTATGTTTTGTCTTGTGCTCTGCAAACTTGCAATAAAACCCTGACTAGAACACAGTTTGGACCAATTGTGTTATGCTGAGTGATTCTTATACTTTGCTTTAGAAATGAGTTGTTTTGTGCCTTTTCATGACAGAGAGAGGGGCTCGGGATGGGTGAGAAATAGAGAAACAGATTGATATAAAGATAAATAATAATAGTGTGAACTATGGCCCGAATTCACAAAGGAGGTTTGTTTTGTCGACAAACCTTGGTTTTCGTGCGTCATAGTTTCGACGCGTTTTTACAAACCAGGTTTGTAAAAAACGCGTAAAAACGCGTCATATGACGTACGAAACCAAGGTTTGTCGACAAACCTCCTTTGTGAATTCGGGCCATTGAGCGCACATACCGTCCAGGGACGCTCATGGTGCTAGCTCAGCAACAGTTCTATTTAATACATGTACAAGTAAACTAAATGTTTATTTGATAATAGAGTTATCGACTGATTGATGGAAGGGCGGATGGGTGGATGGATAAAATTATTGAGAGAGAAGGATACGGTAGAGAGGAGATATGAAAAAGATTATGGTGATAGAGAGGAAGAACATTATTTTGATGCAATGGGAATCCCTTTATAGCAATTATTTTATATAAATGTTCTGCGCTTCAAAAGTTATACAAGAATATTATGAGAACCAAGATTGAACTAAAATGTGAAAGGGGGGGGGGGGGGGGGAGAACAGTGCCAAAACGAAATTGAAAATAAAGATGAGAAAAAATGCTCCTGCCGCCCTCGATACAATGAATTGATCTCACAATCAGCTTTTCCTCTCGACAATCACGGAAAAGGATAATCGTCGAAATCGGATTTGAGTCCGGGTGGGACTGTACAGTCTTCCCGGAGGCTAAATGCTATTGGCAAAAACTGTATGGGATATGCGGTGTCCCATACAAAAAGAGAAGCATAATCTGGCATAAAAGCGAAAATTATAAGACATTTTGTACATCGAGAACCGCATTTATTAGGTTTCCTTTCTTTTTGCCTTAAAAGTGCCTTGTACTTTCAAATTTTGCTTTGTTTATTCGCTCTTCAAGGAGTTTTTTTTTCTTTAGAAAAATGCAGGTGCTTAAGGTTTTATATTTGGAATCTCTCTCTCTCTCTCTCTCTCTCTCTCTCTCTCTCTCTCTCTCTCTCTCTCTCTAACCCCCCCCCCCCTCTCCCTCCACCTCTCTCTCTCTCTCTCTCTCTATAAAAAAAAAACATTCACTAGATAATGAATGGCAGATGACACGGCTATTTCCTTCTTAACGAAATTTTAACTTTAAAAGCAAGTTTTTTTTATCCCATCATCTCTTCTATTTCAATCGCGCTCTCTCTCTCTCTATCTCTCTCTCTCTCCCTCCCCCTCTCTTTTCTCTCTTTCTATCTATTTATCTGATCTCTTTATTTTTGTTTCTCCCCCTCGAAATATCTATTTCATCCTCTCTCTCTCTCTCTCTCTCTCTCTCTCTCTTTATTTTTATTATTTGCTTTGAGCTTAGTGTGCTCCTGTATCACAAGCAAATATCAATTCGGATTGCTTTACAAATATTTCCAAACTGCACCTGGAGGCTGGTCCGAAGCAATTTCATATTGACACCATGATAAATCAAGCACCCTTTACAGATTCTCCTTCTTTAAATGATACATAACCACCGAGTATTATGTTAGCTTGTTTGTAGCTAACTGGAACTCTTGAGATGCGATTTTCAGAAAACATAATACACAGAGGTGCTGCCTCTAGTGGATCAGTCACCGATCTAATTCGTATGGGGTTAAAATTCATAACGCGATTCTCAAATCAAGACCATAAGTAAGGCAGTCTTTCAAAGTAACGTCACGAACTATATCTTGCTTCTGGACTGCTTTAACAACATGTTTCAATTTGGATAATGTTTAGATGTGTTTAGCCATTCACAGTAGCAATATGCTTACCTTGATTATAATGAGTATGTCCGTTATTTTATAAGAATAAGCCCCCAAAACATCATTGATTTCACAAGTCCTTCCAGACTTCCTCCTATTCGTTTCTATTTTTAGGAGAGAGAGAGACAGAGAGAGAGAGAGAGAGAGAGAGAGAGAGAGAGAGAGGGGGGGGGGGGAGAGAGAAGGAAACAAAGAAGGAAGGGGAAAAGGCTTTCTTTCTGATGATCCCCCTATCAACTTTTTCTCTTTTTTTCCTCGTTGTATAAGGGGCACCATGGAAGCCTTTTACCTTGAAGTAAGGCGAATTATTATGTTCTCTTGATAATTTATTAGTTCATGAGTTACTACTTGTTATATGTTATGCATTTAACAATGACATGATTTCAAGTATTCGAATTTATTTGAAGCTCTTGCAATATAGGTTAATTATAGGTCGATATAATGCATGTCCTGATTCAACCAAGTCGATGCGATAGTGCCCTTTGGTAAGGCATTAATCCTCATAACCAGGTCCCTCGGAGAGGACCTAAAGCCGTCGGCCGTCTGGTTGCTTACTTACGAGCATTTATGCTTTCTTAGCAGTCAGGTAAAATAACCACCACCACGTTCAAGTTCATCGCTTGGAGATGTTTGATTACTGGAGGTTGCTCAACAGTTATGTATTTTTATTTTTTGCTCATTCAGTTTCGGTATGATCATAGGGATATGGACGTGCTGTGGCGTGACAACATCGGGCTGAGCTCGTGTTGCTTGTTCCTATTCGGGAAAGATCATAACATTATGACGATAGTATTTTTACTCACCCAGAAGAT